ATTAATTATTATTATCCCCAGAAACAAATAGGGGAACATCCTCTTAGAGTTTTACAAAGTCACATATCTTAACTAAACACTTTTTTACTTACACTAATACATATGGGGAATTCCACGTTAATTCGACACGAAAAAAACCCTTGCCATTTCTATATTCCATGGAAATTTTTCCATGGGTTCCCTGACTCAAAATAAAAATTCAATTTAATTTTAGCGCGGTTTGTCAATTGTTTTTGGAGATATGACTTTTTAAATTTTTATTATAACGATTTTGCCATTCGATCATAACTTTGGTTGTGGCATAATCGCACACTATGATTTTTTTCTTCTAAAACTAAAAATCCATTTTCTACACTGTATTTTTTTTTAATTTTATTTTTTTTTTGTTTGTGTATCGAATTCACGTGGAATTCCCCATATATTACTATAATTCAAGACTTGAATTTCAAGTACATAATGTTATCACAGTTTGCAATAAACATACTAAAAACATATTTCACGAGGAACCTAAAAATCTGTTTAACCCTTTCGCGTTCAAAAAAAATAAGGTCTTTAAAAAGACGACTATATTTTGAGAAAACAAAAATTTGTTATTTTGGTTTAAAATAACATCAAGTAACACTAGCCAGACCAAACCGGTATAGGAATAATGAACAGTATATAGGCAACCAAGTATGCCATTAATTTTAATGTTGCGCGCACGAGTTAATGATGTTGGATAAAAAGTTTGACGATCTAGTCAACACTGCTTACAAAAATGGATTCTATCAAAACAGGAAAAGCACAAGTTGCTTATTTAGTGAAATTATAGAAAAGTGAACAACATGGATTTTTATATCTTAACGGATGTAACATGATTTTATTTTACTATTTATTATTATTTAATATGTAGGTCTTTCCTTTAAGAATATCAGGTCGCTGTACTGGGTGCAGGGTCGGCGTCCGTAACACCTCCCTCCTTAAGAAAGAGCTCAAGGGTTTCTCTTGTAACTCTGGGCGATTCAGGAAGTGTTGGATCCTCTTCGTTTTCTTTACCAGAATGTATGTGAAGGCTAACAAAAAAAGGACACATGATATCGATATACTCCAACTGATTTAGGTGGCAACCGGGTGCAAATGAAGGGGTTGGATTGGTGTTATGTCGAATCCGGTCGGGATGTCCATTTTCTGTAACATAATTTTGTGTTTTGCCGGAGGCAAATTGTGTATATAAAATTCAGGTGAGAAATCTTCTTCTTCATTAGTCTTCAGATCTGTTAGCAGCGCCAGTTAATGATGTTGTCTTCGAGGATTACCATAAAAACCTGGTCTATTCTCAGAATTTTGTTGTCGCGGATATATTTGCGAATGATAAGAGGACAAATTAAAAATTTGTGTCAAATTTGGTTTCTAAAATTTTGCGAACGGTTACCCAGACAGCACACAATATCCATTGGATATCCATTGGATATACCTATATCCACTGAATGTCCAGTCCATGAACGGATATCCAGTGGACATCCATTGGATATACTTTAGGGATATTAGCATACGGACAATTTGCGTCAAAATTGACTAATAAATATTAGAGACAAATATATTAATACATTATTGACACATGCCTTGATATTTCTAATAATTTACTTTGAAATAAATAAAACATAAAATGGATATCTAATGGATATCCAGTGGATGTCCACATAGATATTATAACTACATATCTAGAGCCAAAGATAAATAAGGATTGTTTCAGTTAAAATTATTCTAGACGTTTTTTAAGCATTATGTTTATGAGATACAACCTATGAAATTAGAAGTATAATTTAATGTAAGTTTTCATGGATATCTAATGTATATCTAATGGATATCCACTATTTTAGACTACGTCACATGAGACTCTGGAGAATCATTGGCCAGGCCGACGCGCTTGCGTATTGTGCTCCCATGTCTCTGCGCAAACAACAAACACCGTGAAACGTTTATTTTTATATGTCTGCCGTTTTAAGATTGTGTTTTTAAGTGTCAGTTTTCGCATCATATTTATTGTTTTTACGGTAGGTAAGTGCCTTTATTTCTTGTTTGGTTGTGTGGTATTGTGATGTATATCACAGGTGTCTTTCATATTGCACACACACATTACATTGGGATTTTGGTTTTTATTTGAGGCCTTGTTTATTTACCGGCTTCTGTTAACTATGGCGGGATGTTTTTTATTGCTTTAGCTAATACCTACCTAGGTAAAACTACTAATTTATTAGACATGCATGTGTATTAGATGCCTGCTTGTACAAGTATGTTTAGTAACATTGTTTACTTTATAAAGTAAACTATTACAATAATTATTATTGTAAATTGTAAATTAGGTAATTTTTTTTCTTTTACAGAAAGAAAAACAATGATATAATGCCTCTACCAGAATAAATTATAATGTAATTAATAAGTTAATAAATAACAATTTTGTTTATAATTATAAATAAAATATTATAAACATATTCATTGATGTTTTTCTATACCTTTCAATCAAAATACAATTAATTCATGTCAAATATATATCTATATAAAATATTTACATATGTACACAATGTGTACTACACATGTGTACAGTGGATTGCCAAATTATTAAAGACAGTAGCAATTTCTTCCAATTTCGAAGTTTGGATGTATTTAATGAGAAAAATAATTGACCATTTTTAAGTTTTTTTATTTTGTAGGTATATTATTGCCTGCTATATTTTTTTCAAAATATACAGGGTTATACCCCCTGAAAAATAGGTATTTGAAAATTATTTTTTTTATTCAATTACACATCATATATTATATTTTTAGTAAGTAATGTAATGTTTTTTTTAATTAACTAAAATTAAGTACAACATAAGTATAACATTCAAAAAATATAAATAGATGTTCCATTAAAAAAAACTTTTAAAATCGCCATTTTTCACAGGGTATAAAATATTATATAATATTTTGAAAAAATATAGTATCAACATGTTGGTACTGCAGCATACATAACAAACTCAACAAGCCTCAGATATTTTTCTCACTACATCCAACAAAAATTTAAAATTGGAATATATCCAATGGATATCCACTGGATATCAGCTAGATATCTATGTGGATATCCATTGGATATTTGCTATATCCTGGATATAGGCGGACATTTGGATATCTATAGGATATCTAATGGTTATGGTTAATATCCAGTGGATATCTTGGATATCCAAAAAGTATCCAATCCAATGGATATCTAATGGATATTTTGTGCTGTCTATAGAATTATGATTAACATTTTAAGAACGAGAATTTTGTGATTGGTAACTTAAACTTTTTCGATGTGCCATTACATTATCGTAATCAGAACAGCGTTTTACACATTCCTCCATTGTGTTGGGGGATGTCGAACATAAAAGGTCTCTATATGGTTGATTAATGCCGGTTTTAAGAGTCATTAATGCCTTGTTCGTATAAATTTGAGCTTCAAATATGGCAGGTTTGTTAAACAACAGATGTTGAGAATTTGTAATTCTAAATTTTCCTGGGAAAAGCGATACTATCTTAACAGCATGAATGAATTCGTTCAGATTACCATTCTCGTGGCTGTACTCAGGTATTGTTTTACAAAATAATTTAAGTTCGTCATTAGAAATTGCATCGGCCATGGTAATATTTTTACGCAAAAAATATCAAACAAAGTTTGTTTGTGAAAATATTGAAAAATCGTTAATGGTTCGGTTATAGTTTATAAGTACGAAATGTGGGATCATCATTCTCTACAATTTAATCCATATGAACTACCCTCGAATTTTGCCGTTTTTATTCCCCATTTTATTTACAATAAACAAAATTTAATCAAACATAATTTTGTCACACCCTCACCTCACCGATTTCGTCATCATCGGGGGTGGAAAAATGAGCGTCTAAATGCAGGCTCCATCTTATGCGCATGCCTGTTATCATAACCTATCTTTTGCGAGACTGTTTGTTTCTTAATTTTTTTTAATGTATTTTTGTGATTGGTAATAAAGATGGCTGTTTTTCTCTTATTATGCCATCAAATTTAAATACACACCAAAATCGTATATAGAAAACTGTGCAATCTGTAGCATATGATAAAAATTGTTTTTTTAACTTTAAGGTTTCCCAATAAATATATTTACTACTATTCAGACTGCTGGACAGTATTTAAATACTTCCCGAAAGTATTTAAATATTTAATTAAATCCTCTAAAGTATTTAACTAGGTACTTTCAAAAGTTTTTAAATACTTTTAAAAGCATTTAAATGTCAAATAATTTAAGAAAGTAGGTATTTGCTTTTAATAATAACAATACTACCTAGATCCAATAAAGCATTTAAATTTAAATTATTTAAATTTTCCCCAAATTATTCAAATACATTTTCAATTTAAATACTTTATTAAAACTGGTATTTTTAAATTATTTGGTATTTAAATACTTTCGAAAAGTATTCAATCACTGCGCAGCTCTGATAATAATTAATCTGTTTTATACAATTAAAAATAATAAACAAAGGTATATATATATATATATATATATATATATATATATTAATAAATTTTTAAGACGAAACAGAAATAGGTTTATTTTTTGTGGTTTATATAGAATATTTTACCAAATCAGCTGTAAACTGATAGTTTGATTTGGAGTTTTTTTTTATTTTAAGTAATAATATGTTAAAATTGTATGCAATCAAAATAATAAACCTACGTTTATTATATAATTGAATCTAATAAGCAAAACAGAAATAACTAAATTTAATTAAATACAAATTCATAATTTGATTTAAAGTTTTATAAAATTAAATTAACATATTTGTTCAAAAGTTCAAAATAAGGGGTAATGCGCATGCGCATAATACGAAGCTCCTACATTTAGGCGTCCCTGTGGAAAATGTTCCAGGGCTGTCAGTGGCGGATTCAGGGGGGTTAGAGTTTAACCCCGCCTCTGAAATTGCATAAATTTACTGAGTATTTAAGATAAAGTCTATAAATAAAATAGGTTTTCATTAATGTTTTTATTAAAAAAATATAATCAAATATTTTAAATGGACCATTTTCATAAACATAGTATTACATACATAGGTGTATAAAGGAACAGAAAGTAAATTTTATAAATTGGGAACTTACATGACTTTAAAAAATTAGTATGCTGGAAAAGATGGATCAACATGTTTGGAATATGAATGCAAACCTCCACTAACATTAATAAAATTTATAGGTAAAGAAGAAAATTTTTCTTTAAATAAAACTATGGCTCTCTGGGAATCATTTCCTCTTCTGCAGAGTACAAAAACTACAAAAAAATACATTGTGAATTCAACCAATTAGTGTTAAATTTGAATACCGTCAGTTTCTTTTGAAGTTTCAAGTATATCCTTAACTTTATCCAAATGTTTTTCTTTTTTTAAGTCATTTAATGGAATGTTTGTAGTATTGGGCAATCTACACATTTGATACTCAATCTTAGGCCTTACGTCAATTATAATATTATTTTTTGCATTTACAATACTTTTAATGTCTGTGTTTTGATTGGTTTTTAAAATATCTATATTTATTACCTACAAAAATTATGTGTAAAGGGCTAAAATTAGAGTTTAAAATATATATCACTTTACATTGTCATGTGCGCTTGCGCCGCAAAATTGTTCGTAATCAATAAGAGATGTAACGGTGGGGGAATCCCCGCATACAGCGCACGATTTATTTCTCGGTCTTAATTTTATATTACGAAATGTTGTATTCGACCCATCAAATAGTAAAAGTCTGCCACAGAGTACTCCAGGAGTTTTAGTCAATATTTTTATGGCTTCCAAGGCCTGTAAAACTCCAATTGTACCAGGAACTAAAATATAAAATATTAACATTCGTACAGTAAACTATTTTTTTAAGTTGCAGAAGAGTGATTTATACTATTTGACGCTAATTCCAATATACCATCCATTTCAAGGTTCAATCCTTTTGGGGTTATTTTATTCCTTTAATAACATACCTTGTGTATGCCTCATACTAAATCACTAAACCTTATAAAATGTAAAATTAAAACCTAATAAATTCTGCTAAAAGAATCGAAAATCTTTTTTATCATATTTTATTCATCTGATTATCTATCTAAGAGAACATGATCGCAGTTCAATCATATTCGATCATATTCTTTCAGATTTCCTAGTAAATCATGATTATAAAAACTTGATCGAGGTTCGATCATATTTTGTAAGGTTCAAGTATGCGTCAACTTGATCATATTCAATCATAAAAACATGATCGAGTTTCAATCATATTTCGATAATGTTTAATTATCAGGTTTTAATGAAATATTTAGGGTCCACATTATTTGATTATACTTAATTAGGTTTTAAACTGGATCATTTTTTATCACAAAAACAAGATCGAGTTTCAATATCATTTTGTAAGTTTTGATAATATAATCATAAATATAGTTTCTTTACCTACTATACAGGGTGTTTCAAATTCGTAGACCATTAGAAGTTTCTGGAGAACAAAAAAAGATATTGATTTGAAATTTTAAAAGCGTTCATAATCCATTTAAGAAAAAAAAATATTTCGAAAAAAATGTTACTTCCGGTTCAACTTTGTTATTTTAAATAGAACAACCTAGGTATTTTTACATTTTTAAATTTTAAACAAAATTTGGAGTAAAATTACTATACTATCCTATACCCAGAGAGCCATATCAGGTTAAAACATGGCCAAGAATTGCCCATTACCTTTGGAAAAGTTTTGCCAATAAATGTACTATGTAGGACTGTATATTCCTATGGTATTTGTGCAATCGCGATGGCGAACAATAAATGACCAAATTGTGCCCAATAATATGCCAAAGCAGTTTGGATAAATTAGGTAGGTTACTGTTGGTTTAATTTTGGGAATGTTTGGGCATGGAAAAACGATGACAAATTTTTGATGTTTATTTGGGCAATTAGGCTTTTGAAAAATTGACCAAATATTGGTAAATATTTGGACAAATCCAAAGTATTAACAAATATTATTATATTTGATATTTGATTATATTAAAATCTATTAATCTATCTATTAATTTTTTGGAGAGTATTTAAAAATTGGGTAAATAAAACGCTTTTTATAAAACAAATAAAAAATGTATTTATATTTTTTAATTATAATAAAAAAAATTGCAATTATCTTGGTCACTTCTAGCATGGTAGATCTTAAAACCCAATAAATCCTCTTTTTCCTTCGTGACATAAGTACATATAGGTAGAAAATTTATTTTTAAATTGTCCTGCTTGTAGTAAAAGCCTACACTGAGAAAATTCCAATCTTAAATTATCTTAATGAAATTATCTACATAGTGTTCAAAATATATCTAATAACCAGTACAAATTATCTATCTGTGACATGAAGACGAATTAAGGTGACTAATAGATACGTTTTAATAAAGTGTCAAAACAAAAAATATAGATCATCTATATTTATATTTTAACAATCATAAAATATCTAAATACCACCATAAACTCGGATTAATATGTCGCTGTTCTTTAAATTATTTTAATTCCAGTGATAAATAACTAAATATGGTTAATAGACGACCTTATTAAAACTTGTCTTAATAACCATTACTAGTCAATTGTGAACACATAACATAAGATTGTGAACCACCTTAAATTATCTAAAGACCTTAAGAAGTTGTATAATGGCCTTAACAAACTCATCTACCTAACTAACAGATTCGGCTTTCCGACTATACTCGAATCGACCAATCGTTTAACTAGCGTCCATAGCACAGAACAGCGTCCTCTGTGGAAGCGTCATTTATTATTTCTCACTTGTTAACGGGAAATTGAGGATAATATTGAATCGTTTATAGAAGAAAAAGGGCGTTTCTTCAAAATTGTTTTGCGGTAATTTTACAGAACATAGTAATGGTTTTCAAAGTTACTCTGCTTGAATGGGGGCTCAGTGATTTTGTTAAAGGATTTGATGGTAGGTTCAATTTCTTTCTAGTTTCCGGGGTCCCTGCATTAAACATTTAAAAAATTCATGCTGTATTTAATATGTTGATGATACTTTTATAAATGTATGCTTTGAAGTTTATTTTATAGGATATTGGTAAAATCTGAAATATATTTTTGGTAAAATGTTTACACTTTATTATTATTAGGTACCATATTTATAAATAAAACAGCTTGAAAAAGATTACCAAGATTTTTAATAGGTCAGAATATTGGCTTTGATTCCTTAATTTATTATACCTACATGTATAAAGTTATAATTTTAAGATGGCCTATCTGCTGAAATAGTTTAATTTTTTTAAAGCTCAATTGTTATCTTTTTTTTTAGGGTAGACTGGCTAAAAATGTTCAGAAAATTATGGAGTTAACTAAATGGAAATAATCCTTAAAAGTATTATTAACTAATATTTCTACTAAAAGTACCCAGGTAGCACACTGACGTATGCTGACGTTAAAATGACGTTACCAAAGTCATTTCAACGTCATATAAACGTCAGTGTGCTACCTGGGTAAAGTCTTGAAATGAAAATAAAGTCCTAATGCAGAAAATGCACTAATAAGGTCGTCTAGTAAAAATAATTTCGGTATTTATCTCTATTTTATTTCCTAAAAAAATAAGGAAAGCATTAATTTATGCTAATTGCGATATGTTTTTCTGATTTTTTTATAAACATTTAGGTTAGAGTGCTCCAATTGATGAAAATAATGGTGTTAATGATTTTTTTAAATAAAATAAAAATGAATGCCAAAATTATGTTCAAGTACTCGAAGACTAAAATGAAAATCCAACCTTTTAATGCATTTTTTCGCGTTGGAGCTTTATTTTATTTTCAAGACTTTACTTTTAGTAGAAATAATGCTTTTAAGATTTATTTTCGTTTATTTATACCATGGTGCAGCTCCATTTATAATAAAATTAAACTATTGCCGTAAATAGGCCATCTTAATATGATAGCTATAGCATATTATTATGGCAAATAAATATATTTAGGATCATATTAAGATAGCATAAGAGGATATTAGGAGGTAATTAAGATGATCATAAAATAATATATTTACCATTATAAGATTATTTATTTGCCATGTACCAATTTGGGATCATATTAAGATGTCATAAGAAGATATTTAAGTGATATTAAGATGATCCTAAAATAATATATTAACCCTTATAAGATATATATTAATGGCCGATATAAAAACTTTTGATGGTCTTATGATAATTGTATTAAGTTTGCATATTGATGGTCACAAAGTATAGTTATTACCCAGTAAACACAGGACTCGCGGGCCAGAGATGGCGAGAATACTTTTTTCCGAACTGCCGGATTCGGCCCGAAATATGGTTGCCGGCGCGGCGTGTAGGTAGGGCATGTCCGCCTGGCAGACTTTCTGCCGACTTACCGTAAAGCCGAGTCATTAGCGGGTATCAGCTAGTGGGTTACTCGGTGGCCCGCCACCCGCTTCCGTGCTTTCGGCAAGGTTACGATACGTTGCTTAATAAGTAAATTGCCCAGTACACACAGACTCTCGGGCCAGAGATGGCAAGAATACTTGTTTTCCATTCTGCCGGATTCTCCCGATATATGGATGCAGGCGCTGCGTCAGCTAGTGGGTTACTCGCTTCTATGCTTTCGGCATGGCTGGCGTATATCATACGGCTAACGTTCGGTTTTGATACCTTTTGCCGTTTTTTAACCGACAATGGGCCACTTGTGGTTAGTAGGGAAGTGATAGGGAAACAATTAAAAAAATATGGAAAAATATAAAAATCGATAAAAATATATTTGAACTTAACATGGTATTGCTCTACAAAACAGATAAAATAAAATAAAATTTAACAAAAATAAAATATCAACAAAACTACACTCTACTACTTCTATAACATTTATATAAGAACCCTCCGAAAACCCATCAGTTTTGGTAGTTCTTTAGGTATATTTAAGGGTATATTCTCGGGTATATTACTAGCTGTGTTGCTTGATATGTCTATACTATTAGAACAAGAAGGTTGGTCATTATTACTAGACACATGTTCTGCAGAACTTGTAGGTAATTGAAACGATGCATTATTTGTTAAATTGTCATCCGTTAATAAACAATCTTCAATTAAACATTTCATTTGTTCACTAAGCACACGACGTTTGTGGCGTTTGCTTACTTTTTTAATAAAAGACATATTGACTTAATTCTTTTAAGAAATATCCTAATTCAAAAATAAACGATAAACCTGAAAATACCCTTAACAAATACCTAAGTACCTAAGACTAACAATGAAATGGCAAAATATGCAAAATATAATAAATTATGTTGTTTCAACTTACTCTTCACTTGATTCTGCCATTTTACAAACTATAATAAAACTTATAAACAAAATTATAACGTAAAACTACACACAAAACTAGTTTGTCACAAAAAACACAAACCGGCACCAAAACACGGTAAGTATATCGTTTATAGCACAATTCACAATGTGGATTGTGGTTTATAGTATATGGATAATTTATAAACTATTTTCTTTAAAGGAAAACAACATAACACTGTCCTGAACAATCCTTAAAAAGCTTTTCTGGAATATAACCTAACATTGAAACTTCGTTCACGTGGTTCAGCTAAACTACTAAAGTAAAGTGTTTGCGACCTCTATGATCTGTGTTTGGGACTACGAATGCCAAAGACTTAAAATGCGGAAAGCGGGTATCAGCGTACTTAACGAAGACGGCCCGAAAGTAGCAAATAATCCAGCCCGTTCATGGGCTATACTTTTTCGGATAGCATTCGGGCGCGAAGGGTGGATCCCGGTTACTGGTTTGCCGAAATCGGGCCGCATTTTAACCGAATTTGGAAAAATGCCTAC